AAAATCACAAAATCAACTATATAACTCCCCGGCCAGTTTGTACTTGTCTGGGATAAAAAAAATGAGGAAAGTAGAAGCAGGCTGGAAGTTTACAATATTTATGAAGAAAGCTTAGCAAGATGTTTTGATATAAACACGTGTTCGGTACAACGTGGGTTACCCTGAGAAGTAAGTACAAAGGAGACAAAGTGGTCTTGCAAAGAAGAGCAAAATGACTTGGCATAAACATCATTCATAACACTAATTGAGTGAATGAAAAATGATAGCACGAGTATATAATAAAGAATGAATTCAACAATTACCTTAAGAACGATTTATTGGCCTTGTCACATTCACTATACAACCAATGCACAACTTACCAAACGGCTCCAAGGACACAATTCACTTGATCTTCTTCAATGAACAATTAACACAATCAGTGCGTTCGTATACATCTTAGCACTTATTAACTGTTATGGCCTAAATAGCATCTTTTAACAATAAAACGTGTTCTGTGGATCGCCTTCCTGGCAAAGTTCAATCAATATACAGTAGAAGCGTAAACATAAACGTTTATATTAGTATCACACGTTCAGCGTTTTATTACCCACTGTTGAAATGGAGACAAAGGCTGTTGAACTTTACTTATAACAGTAAAAAATAAGAAAATAAGAGCTCGATGTTGAGATTTTTTATCTTTAATTTCTCAACTGCTTTGGAAAATGTTTGAATTTTCTAGTATTTTGTTCATTTTTTGTTGTTTTGCTATGTAAGGTCTAATGTGTATTGTATGGTTTTAATTTTGTAAAAATCATCTATGAACGTGGTTAGCCGATTTCTGTGAGCTATCTTTCGTTAAAAGCTTCATCTTCCTAAGCGCTTCCATAATTTGTGAAGCGAAATTTGCTTAATGGGGCGATATTCAAACAAGATTTGTATGAACGCATACCCAGTAAATTCAGCTCATTCGAAAACCGATTCTAATTTAATTAGGCACTGTGAGATCGTGGAAAAAAAATTAATGTTTATATATACTTGGTTTTCATTTGACTTGCGGATATTACCTGATGAACCGTCGAGCTCAACTAAATATTTCGTACGTTTAGCCTAATTCAGTCTCATTCTCACACTCAGTGCAGACTCTCGGCTCACTCAATGTTTATTCTGCCCTGACCAACGGAGAGAGCTGCCACCGTTTTAAGAACAGTGAAATTTGTTAGCAAACACTTCACCGAGCTCTGCACCCAAATTTACGAAGTATCCAAATAGGAAATGTCGTTTGAATTGAATAATACCGTACTTCCTTTAAATTTCGCGGCAAACGCGGTTTAAGAAATCAACATACCATGATGGGAAATTAACAGTCCGGTAAGTATTCAGTATTCGTGGCATATCACACATTTTCTTCCTCAAGTCTAATTTGCATTGGGCAAGTAAATTGTCGCTTACGGAGTACGGAGTGAAGCTTACAAATCTCTGTGTTTAAATAGGGTTTTACAGTAATTCTTTTAATGACAAACTTTTCGCAATCGGGTAATCTTAAATTCCAACACGCTCACATTGCATAAGGGTCAGCAATACTCTGCTGTTATAATGGCTAAGATATCAGGGTTATACATCCCTTATTATATCATTCAACGGAAATCTTCGAGAGAGAGAGAGAGAGAGAGATCACAGCCTCTTGGTCACTTATCCTCTTTAAAGTTGTAAATAAAGTTTCACTCTTTGGTTCAAGGGACAATAAAGAAAAAACATTTTGGACACGTCCTTATTTAGGATCTTTCGCAGAGCAAGTGGATAAAGTTGTTGGTTCAGTTCTTGGCAGAAATAGTGCGTTTCATACCTTTGATACCCCAAAAGAAACCGCTCATCCACTCGGTTATGTATATCAGTTTTGAAGTTTACTTTAAAAACACAGTTCAAGGGAAATCTTATTTCTCCAATTATTTGTAAAACGTCATGACGTCAGTGAAATTAAGAAGGAAAAACTTCCTTTTAAAACGAGCTGGCGAAGTATGCATTTTTTCTTTTGACAACAAAGGCAGACGCGCATCCTCCGGTGTGTATATGTTGTAAAGTTTACCTTAAAAACACAATTCAAAGGAAATATTTTATCTCCAATTTTTGGTTAGACGTCATGACGTAAGTGAAATTAAGAAGGAAAAACATCCTTTTAGGACGAGCTGGCGAAGAAAGCATTTTTCTTTTCTTTTGACGACAAAGACGGAATTACGCAATTTTAACGTTGGCTGCTAATAAAAAGGCTTCAGTGTAACTTGAGACGACCTAATTATTTCAGGGGGATGCGCACATTCAATTTTTTTTTACGCAACTTTGATTAATACCCTCTCAAGAGGTTATTGAACTCAGTTACTCCAACTCAAAATACGATTCAGAATAAAAGGGTATTAATTGCAGAAGCAAAATAAAATTGATGAAAAAATATGATGAAAAAAAAACATGCCAAGTGAATGTTACATTGCTGTCGGTTCCTTTAAACAGCCATTTTTTACAATCGACACCCTCGGGGGTTTGGTTAGAATCTTTATTAGTTTATACTAAAGTGTATGTGTGCGTGTGCGCGTGTGTGCATGTGCAGCTTTGCCATTTATATCAGTTGATTCGTGTGAGTATTCTGCATTCAAGAACAAAACCATTATATTCTCAACTAGCGTTCAAAATTTACTGTAGAATTTATTTCTATTATTTTGTAGTCTCAAGCGCCCTAAGTACGGCATTATGTGATCCATATTTACTTACCTAAATAGCATATAAGCTCAGTGATAACCGCCATCGTGTCTCACGTGTATTTCGAAACGGGCGGGAGCTACATGTGGGTCACGTGACAGGCGAATTTAACTAATCCAGTTAGCATTTGGAATAGTCCAGCGTTGCCAGCCTTTTCGTTAAATTAGAAATAGTCTAATACATCAGTTTTAACTTTTAGACATCGCATTGGTCTGTTGCTTCAGTTTAAGATAAATTCATGGAGGTTCATCACTAAAATAAGTAAACGTTGGTCAAAAACACTCATCATGTCTGCCTAGTTATGCTTCGTAAAATATTCACAGCATTTTTTTCTAGTTGTATCACTCTTTATTAATCTTGGATAAAAGTAACTAAAACTCTCATGTGAAAAAGACCCTTGCTTTTGCTTTGTATGAGACAGTACTGCAGGCTGTGACGTTTATTTGCGTTCTTTCTTTTAGCAATAACCTACTCTAGACAAGCTCTGCTAATCTATAAACTCACCAACCATTTGTAACTTGATATCTTTAATAAAAAATGGTAACTTAAGACCACCACTAACACTTGTTTTGCTAGCATTTAAAACCAAGTCGTTTCCATCACACCACTCCAGAACTGAGTCAATTCTCTCTCTAGTTACTCTCTTCATTCTCGTTGTAAGACCAACTATAGTGTGGTATCGATATCATCTGCATATTTCATCAAAATACACCTTGAATATTTGCCACGTAGCCATGGGTAAAAAGAGAGAAAAGCATGGAGATATCACACATCTTTTTGGGTCTCGGAGAACGCCGGTGTGACAGGAATGGTAGTCCTATGAATGGAAACCCGAGGTCCTAAGATTAGTACAGGTTAGGGTAAGTCGGAGTATTGGGGTTAATATATAGGACGAATGTTACCTGTTCATAATAATGGGACATTGACTTACGTGTATGTTCCTTGCGGACTACCATTCCTGTCACACCGGAACGCTATTTCACGAGGCCTTTCGACTCGTGGCTAAAACAACTCGTTACGGAGTTCTATCGTTCGCTGAGATCTCCGTTTGAATACTACAAAGTACATTTAGGGGAATGTAAATTTTGCGTCGTGAATTTTTTCCTTATCTGCACATCTTGGTATTTTGTCAAGTCAATACATGATGGTCACAAGAGGCACATACATGCAGATGATTTGCAGAATTGTCCTGGGCAAAAAAAAAAAAAAAAAAAAAACCCTGGAGACCACTGACCGCGGTGACTTTAGTAGTTCAATAAAACTGAACTCTTAATTGGCAAGACACTACAGCAGGTTTTCTTTGGGTCGTTTTTATGCCGTATGAGCATATATACACTTGTTGATAAAGGCAATAAAATCACGCTGAGTACACGGTGTGTACGGTGCATGCGTAAACAATTGATTGAATAGATCAGGCACATTTCATGCTGCCAGCTCGAGTAGATGACTTGTCCGTGATAGAATGCACAAACCCACAGCAGTGCTCACAGACAAAACTGTCAAAAACCTAGCGTAGTAAAAATAAAATTGACTCCAACTTAAAATGCATTGTCACATTGAAATATAGGCCTATATATAACACTGCAATTAAGTAAACCAAAGTCTGCATAATGCCATGCCGATCTCGATTTCACTTCTTAGACTGCATTCCCAGAGATTTAGATCGATCCGTCCGGATCGACCTAACTCCCTGGGGGTTCACGCTAAATTGCTGTCAGTCGAGCGCACACCATAGTTAATTACCCCCTTACAGCTTTTAGTAGGCGGGACAGACATTTAAGCCTGTTAATCTGACACCAATCTAGTGAGACTCCCCAGGGGATAGATCGATCTAAATATTTATGGGAATGGGGTCTTAGATTCCTTGCAAATATTTAAGGTGTAGTAGAAAAGCATGTAATCATCTGTGTAGCAACTTCTTACAGTTCAGGTCGGTAGCCAGGGAGGTTCGGGAAGTTGAACGAACCGAACTTTTTGACGGGAAACGACCCGCTCTAAGTAAAATTTTTAGCTAAGTACACGATGGTTTCACGGAAAAGGTCCACTTTGTCAGAAAAGTACCCCCCCCNAAAGACGTACAACTCGAACCTGGGAATCCACACAAAGCGGAACCAAGCGCGCTACCTGTCATACTGTTTCACCGAGAAAGTTTTACGGCTTTTTAACCGCCTAACAAATTGCGACGAGGTGGGGGCGCGATTCATATGTTGATGCCGTAAACTAGAGAGTGAATCAATAAGGGGTTTCTTACGAGATAAGCTGCAAGTACTTACATGATGACTTGATACCTCTCTCCTTCTCTCAATTTCCTTCTCTCTCTCTTTCTCTGGCGTCCGACAAGGTGAAACGCTGCGCTTGTGTTATTTTAACTGTACTAGCAGGTGTGAATATGATCAGTCGTCCATGAACGTCGCAACTTAAACCGGGTGTATATTGTCACTTAATCACTGAAGCTGTCATTAAACAATGAGAACATCGACACCGCCGTGGTTTGATCCCAGTGGCACCGTTGCTCCCAAATTACGTATGGGATTTCTTTAAGTGACTTCAAAGTTTGGCGCAGGAAACGTGATCGAGAAATGAATTTTCACACTTTGCAATGGTCCAGGCAAACACGTTTGATGATAAAGACAAACGTTTAAACAGTTCCAAGTGACAGATCAATCCCAATCACACTGTGGCCGATCTCCCCGCAGTGTCTCTCTCTCAAGTAGGTCTACCTGTCTCTGTAGTTTCTGTTTTAATACGACACAACCTCGGCGTCTACGCTTTGGACAATGTCGCAATTGCAGCTGCAGTCAGTGACACCCAACCGTCATTGTATACACTGCGACCGACGCATGGCCAACTTTCAACAGTGAATTCAACTCGTGTTTGTGTGGTGTAAATATTTTCTCTTCTTAAGCTGAAAACTTCTTTGCTTGTTCTCCCCGAGTGCAACTGGGTAGATTTTTCCTAACCCTCCGAATCCAGGCTTTTCCAGGCTTTATTTTTACTGGAAGGACACAATGCTTCGTCGTTGTTCTGTGTCCTCGACCCCTGCTCGGAATTTAGGCACAATGGGAGAGAATTAATTCACTTCAGTGCAAAACCGGGAGGGGCACTAAAAACACTGAAAATACCCTATACCAAAGCATATTTGCTTAAACGCCTCCTCTACTTTTACGATGAATGAACTGCTGTGTACAAGTGCAGTGCTGATAATGCGGAATGTTTTGAATGCATTTGTTTTTTGGATTTGAGAAAATTTGAAGTAAGAAAGAAATCAAGATTAGCTCTTAGTTCTATTTGTTTTAGAGCAACGACAAAAAGATTATCTCGAAAGCAGTGAAGAAAAATTAAAAATATATACTCTGTTGTAAAATTCTCTTGTGCACTAGTCAGCGCGTAAGCTGCAGGCAAGGAGTCCCGCTATCAAGAGGGTCAAGTGTTCCTGCCCTTTACCTTTTTTTAAAACAAATTTCTGAGCAGATTTTCTCTCTGTAAACTTCATTGGCGCTGCGGGTAGTCTTGAAGAAGAGCCAGATTCATGTTTAGATGCCCCGAAGTCAAGGTTTCTCACTTGAAAGCTAGTGGCACTTAAGCCTTTCTTCTGTCCTTTTCTTAAAGAAGGGTAGATTATCAAAGTAACAATATCATTTAATTCGGATTTTATTTCTCCAATTTACAAGAAAACGAGCATGACTATTTTATGTTGAAAAGAAACTTTAAGATCAATAATTGAATGCTTCGTTATCGTTAATCATTCTAAGAACACATGAATGCCCCAGTTAAAAATACAAATATTCGGGGTTCCTCAACGGTAGTCACTCAGTGAATTCGATGTTGTCAAGAGTTCCATCTTAACTCTCATAAAAATGTGGAAATCGACTGATGCTACACGTCAACAAAAGTGTATTGATTTGACAACCTACCGATTCCAATTTTTCCAGCACGTGTACAATCTTACTTGGCCTAATATTAAAATCATCTGGTCACGTTTGATCTCATGTAATATTTAAACACAAGATTAAAAAAAAAATCACATAAGAGCGTTCGGGTTGAAGTTTTCACGAAATAACTCTTAGAGCAAAAATCTTGGCCTACTTAACATGGAGTTAAATTCAAAGAAATCCACTTGAATAAAATACACATTAATTTGAAACATTAGCCATGTAATTCTTGTTATTATAAGGGAGCTATATTTCATTTGATTGGACTGCTATATATTTAACTTAATTCTTAGTAGACTGAAATTATGGTCTAAATATTTAGAGTAATTTTGGGCTAAAGTTCCTTTTCGAAACAGGCCCAAGATCTTAACTTGAATAGTGTGCTTTTTTCGTGTTAGCCATCCCAAGTGAAACTTGCGTTCAGACAAGGACCATTCTCAACCGGGCGCACGGGCACGTAAACTGTCATCACTTGCTACAAGACCATGCCAGACGGGGAAAAACTGTTGCACCTTTAATAGCACGATTCAACGAAACCTCCGTTGACTCTGGTTCGTTTGCTGAGACTTCATCAAAAATGCACAAGTAACGTTTAAGTGTATAATATCACTGTTGCAACTATTAAAAGAAAAATATATGGCTTCGAGGGAACAGTTTCAGGTGGTTCTAGCACATTTAAGACCGAGTTCCAGTCTCACATTCCCCTAGGCCGATCGCAGCTAGAGACAGATCTGGACCCCTTGAGGCAGTACCCCTTTCCTCACAACAGAACAGGAGTCGAAATGAACCAATTCCCAGTCAAGTCAACAAAGATTTCAGAAACAACTTACGGACATCGACTTAATCAGCCGTGCAAATCGCGCTGTATTTGCATGGAGCTTCTTGATTTACACACACTGCAAATTCAATGCCACATTATTTGGATCGGAAGTTATACATTTGAGCGTTTACTTAGAGATCGAGTTGCATGGCGTGAAAAGACACCCCGAGTTGCAAAGGTCACTGGAAACTCACGATTAGATCACCGGTATGCGCCTCCCCAAACAATAGCGTTGAGGCAAGTTCCCAGTCGTCCAGTGACTGCTGAAACGCAGGGTGGGTACAGGTGACAGGTTTAAAGTCATATTACTTGTGACTTAACGAAGCGGAATTGTAGTTGGCCTACAGTTTGTGGACTGCCCACAAGATCTTTACCGTGTCATCCGGGAACTCGACTAATAACTGTACCCAGAGTTTTGTGGTTGATAACCATTGCACCTACAAGTACATATATTATATGTGCCAACCCTTTCAACTTCATTGGGCGAAAAAAGCGTAGTTCAAGACCAAGCTAGGAGACTTTCTTTACACACACACACACACACACATACAGAGAGAGAGAGAGAGAGAGACAGTCTAGGAGGCGTGATCAAATATATGAATAAAGTAAAATTGGCTTTGAACGGATTATCACTTTGCGGGATCCAGTGTTGGATATATTTACTTGTTTTCCGGCTCTCATTTGGTATTAAAAATCAAAAGGAATCAAATACCACCAGATGCATGATTGGCGATTGTTGCAACTCAAAAGACGTGACTGAACCTTTCAGAACTGTCCAGAGCTGTTCAAGCGTTTTCACAGCGCATGGATGTTACAGTTGAGATTTTTGGGGCCCACCCATCGCAATTACATCAGATTACACTTGTTTTACGCTTCCCGTGACTAAACTGAGGTAATAATGAAGGGTTGGAGGGGGGGGGGGCGTATTTGGCAAACAAAAATACTTCAAAACAAAAAATATATATACCTGATTGCTAATCATAATTCAATTGATTTAAAGGCACTTAGCGTGGTTTATTTATTTCTGCATTCATATAAATATTCAATTCATCTGATAGACCTGTCAATCCAAGGCACAGGAATCAAGAATGTAAATACTTCGACACCCATTCTCAAGGCTAGTGAGCAATACATATGGAAAAATGATTCTGCTGAAAAATTTCTTGAAGCCCTTGAAAAAGATGAAACTATTCTGGCTTTAAGCAAACTGCAACATTCTAATTATCCAGCCACCAAAGAAGGGGTTAATGCAGCATGTAAGACGCTCTCAGACCTACTCGAGAATACAGCTAATGAATCATTAGTTCAGCGAAAACACCCTGTAACAAAAAAGAAAAACAAACCAGTAAGAGCGAAGAAACAGCCATGGTTTAATGCAACATGTGCAGAAGTCAGACGTGAAATAAAACGCTTGGGGAAGCTGTTACAGAATAACCCACAGAACACATTTATATCGCATACATATCATGAAGCTGTTAAAAAATACAAAAAACTAATTAAAAACAAAAAGCAAGAATTCAAAGATTCACTTTTAGAAAAACTCCTTGACAATGAAAATAAGGACCCTAAAGAATTCTGGAAAACTATCAAAAAACTGAAAGAAAATAAAGACTCTGGCAATCTGATAAGTCCAGATGTATGGTTACAACACTTTAATCAATTATGTGGAATGACACCTACTGGGGATCATGAAATAGATACTGAAATCAAACAAAAGGAAAATTTACCTGGTAATACATACTTGGACAAACCGATAACAATATCTGAAGTAAAAAAGGCACTGAAAGCCCTAAAAAATGGAAAGGCACCAGGTCAGGACAAAATTAAAAATGAAATGCTCAAAACTAGCGCTCCATATATAATAGGACCACTCACCAAGATATTTAATCTAGTCCTTAACACTTCAGAAATGCCAGACTCTTGGAACTTAGGTATTATTATTCCTCTATACAAATCAGGGGATCGTATGAACCCAACAAATTATAGGGGGCTTTGCATAACTAGCTGCCTTGGAAAACTTTTTAATTCAATTATGGCTGGCAGACTCAATGATTTCCTAGATACTAACGGCAAACTCAGTAATGAACAGGCAGGCTTTAGACCAGGTTTTCGTACTACTGATCACATTTTTACATTGAAATCACTAATAAATCAATATGTTAACCAAAATAAACGCATTTATGCATGTTTCATCGATCTCAAAAAAGCATTTGATTCAGTTTGGCACAAGGGTCTCTTATTAAAGTTGCTTAATTTGGGAATCTGTGGAAAATATTATAGAGTTGTAAAATCAATGTACCAAAACACAAAACTAGGAATTTCTGTTCAAGGTGGCTACACAGAGCCATTCACCTCACGAATTGGTATTCGTCAAGGGGATAACCTCAGCCCTGTTCTTTTTAATATCTTCATCGATGATATCAGAGAAAGCCTACAGTGTAGAAACAATACAGGAAAAGTGAACGGTTTATGCCACATATTATATGCCGATGACCTTATATTACTGTCATCGTCTAGTGAAGGTCTTCAAAGATTACTTAACAAACTGGAAAATTATTGCACAAAATGGAAATTGACTGTTAATGATAAAAAATCCAAAGTTGTGATATTTGAGAAAAATGGTAAAAAGCATTCCCATCTTAATTTTCACATAAATGGTCACCCCGTTGACATAGTAAAAGAATATAATTACTTGGGTATTACATTTACAAGCACAGGGTCATTGAAACAAGCTATGAATAATTTGAAATTAAAAGCCCTGAAAGCTTTATTTTCTCTCAAAGCAACATTGAAATCCCAAAATATATCAAACCCCATACTGACTATGAGGCTTTTTGATAAAATGATAAAGCCAATCCTAACATATGGTTGTGAGGTATGGTCTGAGGAACTATTTAAGCAAAAGAAAATATCACTCAATTTCCTAAACAAATTACCATTTGAACAAATTCATCTTAAAGCATGCAAATGGGCATTAGGTGTGAAAAGATCTACAAATAATAGTGCAAGTCGAGCAGAATTGGGTAGATACCCCATATACTGTGATGTTGTTAAACAAACACAAAATTTTGCAAAAAGACTGGACAATTTACCAGACACGAGAATTGTTAAACAGGTATACAATCAACAGAAAAATGACAAAATACCCGGCTGGTCTTCAGCCACGAAAACAATGCTTGAAACTTGGAAAATTACTAACCATTTCGGGAACATGCCACAAACATTTCACGGCTATCCTGATTTAGATCAAGAAATAATAAAGAAAGTTGAATGTCTC